TTTCGTTTACGAAAAAAAAAAGTAGGTAACGACATGCCAATGTATCACAAATACGTACGTATATATTTACAATTCAATTAATTGGATTAAATGAAATGCCACGTACGTACGTACACTTAAATAACCCATTTTTCAATTTGAAGGTCGAGATACGTATTATGTAAAAATAGACCAATCAATACTGTGGAAAATTTAAGCTAAAATAGAAGAAACAACAACCTAAACCTGCTTGGAGGCACCAATGGGTCTAACATAATTTAAACTCTAAAGTTAATTTGGTAAAATGCTAATTTACTGTACGAGTTATAACCACTCTAGACGTTCCCCTTATTTTGAAGTTTGCGTCGATTAACCAATAAGATTGTAAATTTTTACGAAATAAAAAGAAGTGTTAAACAAAAAAAAACAAAGCGGGAGTCTAAACCTACTTTGGGATACAAATAAGGTGTTGGAAAGAGACTCCCTCTATGTCCTAATCTTAAACTATCTTTAACACTACTTTGTCTAACATACTTCCAAATAAGGAAATTTAAAAAATGACTCAAAAAAAAACGTGGACAACTTTTGGTCTATAAAATTTTTGAATTCAGAATCATGTAACGATGTAATTTTATTTATTAGATAATAGTGAAATTCTAATATCGATATTCATTATTATTCTTAATCCTGCATGTTTCGAGTGTTTCGAATTGGCAAGTAACACATCATCTTTAATTTGGATTGATTTACCTTGCAGGCCAGGCGACCAATCCTAACCAATTTAGACTGATTGACCTGGCAAACAGTTTGAAATCGAAATTTTTATGCAAATAAGTTACATAATAATTTCAAGATTAACTACTTCTAGTTAGCAAAAAAATTTAAAAGTCAACTTAAATAGCGATAGTAAAGTCAGAATGTAAAAAAAGAAGTCGATATAAGTTCTTCTTATTTGATTATAACATCACTAAATTCAGGTAATTATCAATACTAATTTTATGTTCATACGTACAATAGTTTAAATCATAATGTAAAAAAGATTTACGCATAAATGAGTTTTTTTTTTATAGGCATAAGAGTTTTACCACGATTGGCACAATCTTCTTCAGCCCAACTAGTTGAAGACATAATGGACTATTCAAATTTATGATTATGGCATGTTTGGTCTGTAGTGAAACATTAATAAATACACACGACCTAAATAAAGTTTGGTTGTTACAAAAAAATGTTGGGTAGATGACTTATATAAGAAATGTTTGTTTAAAGTTTGAGAACGTTAAAAAATTCATACATGATCTTACAAAAACAAATGTCATCCAAAATTCAAGAAACATTTAAAGATTATGGCAAAGGAACTTATCATTTCGCAGGAAAAGTAGTTGATGCTGTAGCACCTTATATACCATTATTCGATATCGCAACGAAATTAATTAAAGAAATTATTGATCTTCACGATGCGGCTCAATATAATAAAAATACATGCGCTAGGTTAATGGAACGTGTGATTGACGCTCGGGGTGCGATTGAAAAATTGCAACGGACCAAAAAAAGTAATGAAGAAAAATTTAAAGATCAAAATTTTTATAATACTTTTCAAAGATTTACGAATACTTTAACTAAGATTAAAGCATTCGAGGAAGAATTATCAAAAATGGGGAATTTTAGAAAAACGTTTGAGGCAAGTTTAATCAAAGATAAGTTTATAAGCTTGACAAGTGAATTTGACACTGCAATGAGAGATTTAAATTTCAGTATGATGGTTGATAATGAAGCACAAAGGAAAAGAGATTTTGAAAGTTTAGAAGAAGACCATGACGAAATAAAAAAGGTTATTATATAAAATATACCCATATAAAGAATAATATATATAAATAAGAAATATTACTAACATTTATAATATTTATAATATTAATTGTAATAAAAAGCTTCTTATTTATACTAGAGAAACTGTAATTGAAAAGGTCGAAAAAGTTGTTCAAGAAGTTCAAGTAATGAAGTCACAACTTGAAGATAAAATTGATAATATTCATGATCAATTGGGAGATAAACCAGTTTTTAAACCACCAAAAATAGATGCTAGTCAATTACAATTTTATCACAGACCTTTATCACCTCATAATGCGAAAAGAGTTAAGAGAATGTTACAACGAGTCATTGAAGTTGAGTGTAAACCTATAAATCTTAATGAAAAAACAAAAGCTCAAACATATCTAGCAATGATAGGAAAATTAGGAATATGTCCATATATTCTCAAATTTCACGGGTTGTCTAAAGATGAGGGGAAAGATGTTCAAGTTTTAGAATGGGCAGAATTAGGATCTTTGAAAGATTTTTATGACCGACATGATATCGGATGGGAAACAAAAGTAATTATAGCTCGTGATATATGTCGGGGTATTGCATTTTTAAATTCGGTGAGCGTATTTCATCATGACATTCGTTGTGAGAATATTATGGTAAGAAATTTGCAAAGGAATCTATATTTGGTAATTTTTTAATACGATATTTTAAATCAAAATATACATTATTCTAATTATTTAAATAGTTAACAGAACGTTATGAACCCAAGATTGCAAATTTCGATATGGCTCGTGAGGTTAATGGTATATCTAAGGAAATTCCAGACCTAAAAGTTTTATGGTGGATGGCTCCAGAAAAAATGGAAGGAAGAAGATATGATACAAAATGTGAAATTTTCAGGTAATCATCAAAACTTTATTATTAATACTAATTATTTAAAATAATAATAATAATTATTATTATTTAAACTAATAATATAATAATCGTATTTATTTATTATTTATTTAAAGCTTTGGAATGATGCTCTGGGAGCTTGCGTTTGAAAAATATCCGTACATTGGTAGATTTAGTAACAATCATCTTGATGAAATAAAAAAATATGTAACAAGTGGTGGAAGAGAAAAAATCGTTTTTGGTAAAGCAAAGGATCAAAATGAGAAAGAAATTCAGCAAAAATTGAAAGAAATTATCGAATCCGGTATATATATATATATATATATATGCGTACAGTTTTGTAACATCGTATTTCATTTAATATTCTGAATAACTAATGTACTTAAATCCTGTATGTGTTATCTTTAAGCTTGGCATCATGACCCAGACCAACGGTCAAGTTTAGGAGAGTTACTTATAGGAATAGAAGAACTGTCCGAAAAGTACGTTGAACGTGGCGCATTACCAAAGATATATCCAGACAAACAACTAGACCTAGATGGAACAAGATGCTCTAATGATTATGATGATGATTTTGAAGGTTTAACACTTGGTGATCATCTCGATATAAAGACAATCATGCCTTTTGATGAAGGGTTAAAAATTCATCAGCAAATAAGAAAAAATGAATCTAGCGAAAAAGTAAATGAAAAAAGGAGGCAAGCATGGGATTGTTTTTCGGAAAATGCGTCGATGGGAAATTCGCAAGCCAAGTACTGGAAAGGATACTATTTATGGGAAGGTTACTACGTTGAAAAAAATCGAGAAGAAGCGGTTCGACTCTTTAAAGAGGCAGCAGATGATGGCATCCCTGGAGCACAATTACGTTATGCATTCTCCATTATCTCAAAGAAAGAAAAGGTCACACCAGTTGAAATAAAAGAGTTTATTACCTATTTAACGATGGCTGCTGATAAAGGAAATCATGTAGCATTATATAATTTAGGAGATTTATATTTAAATGGGAAGTTTCAAGTTGAAAAAGATCGTGAACTTGGACTAGATAAGTTAAAATTAGCCGCTGCTTATGGAAATGATGCGGCAAAGAAATTATTGGAACAATATGAAGCAAAATAATTACAGTAATTATATGTGATGTAAATTTTGTTGTAAGAAAATTAATCGATAAAAATTTTATTTATTTTAAAATCTACAAATATATATATATATATATAATAATAATAATAATAATTAAAATGGCCATTTTAATATTTAAATAAATTTTTAAACAGCTAACATAAAGTTTACTTTAAAAGTTTCGGTTAATAAAATCGAGATTTTCTGCCCTATTTACGAGTAACGAACGAATCAATACCGTCTATTTTCGCAACATTTTCACAAACTTTAGGCAGATACAAATACAGAAATACGTATGAAGCGTTCATTAATAATTTCTACTTCAAGGGTTGCTTCATGAAAATTTTTTTGTTTGATCCTTAAATTTTTCATCACATATATCACCGATGATAACTACCTTGGGTTTCGTTATACTCTCTTTTAACATCTTATCTCCTAGAGTTTATAGTGGATAACGCTTCAGGAATAAAATCTACTGAAAAATTTTGCTTGTTTGCGTTTATGGCAACATTTGTCATAAATGTTGAATAGTTCTATTTGATCCATCGTAATTATGGTAATTTCATTTATAGTCGGTGGCAATCTTTTGAGCGTTATTCTAAATATTATTTAATCATTCTTTAATAGAAAAAAGCTTACCTTTTACTCCACGCATTATCAGGATCTCGTAGATGAGATGGGCACATTTTGTCTCTCAGATGAAACATACGAATTGAAAATTTGCATCACATAATTGAACGAATTTTATGGTTTAGTGTGGGTATGCATCTATATCGCTTTGTCATTTTAAAATTAGATCATTATTAATTGATCTTGTATTTAGAAACGAATGTTAAATCAAACTAACCTCTTTGAGGAAGTGCAAAGATCCTGTAACGTAGAAAATACCGATTCCTGAATTTTTTTTTAATTCTTTAATTTTATTGAATTTTTTTTTATCGTTTTATTTAATAAATTTTTTTATTGGTTAATATTTCTTGCACGCAGAATCAATTACACTTAATAAATCAGGATAAAAGTAATCGAGTTCTGGGAATTCTTTTCATTGAATTTTGTGTCCGAAGCATGCGGAGGAATATATTGTGACCTATTATATACCCCTTTACGATATCCATTACATACTTTCTCATAGTGCTAGGTCGTCGATGTCGAACTTGCGTAATCGTTGTCAGATACCCAAAAATATAAATATGGTTCTCGTGTTCATAAATTTTAATGCTTGAGATTTGAAATTTCATCATCAAGACATAATCCAGACTTTTTTATAGTACGCATTTCACGAAAGAAGGTTGTTTGATGGATGTGCGAAATTTCAAGCTTCTGATCTAGCATTTTTTGTACATGATTTCTTTCGCGTTCATCTAATTAAAAAAAAAAAAAGACCCGACAGCTTAGTTTTATTCAATTTGAATAATTATCAATGTCAACTAAAAAAAGAACATTTCATTTGGAACAAATATACTAGAATGAAATTATACAAACATGTTGACATTACCACTTAGTTTTTACATGACAAATATCGCAATTTAAACCTACAAGTTTTAAAGAATTTATAATTAAAATATGAGCTAATAATCTATAAAAATTTAAAATTTAGACTTGCAAAAAGATATATAAAAGACTTGTGCAATGTTGTTGTGTACATAAGTATTCATAAGTTCGTAAGCGTTATGTTTGTAGCTTTGCCTAAATATATGTCGAGAAAGGTTTCCATTACTTTCAAAGTTTAGAACTTTAATAATTCGTGTCATTCAACGACGGGTCCTGAATTTCACCTCAATATCTTAATTAATAGATACGTTAATAGTATTACGATTATATCTTCTAATTGGTTTTATTATCATGACGATTAACAAGGTTGTATATCAGTATAAAACTATAAAACGATACTGTGCTAACTTTAACGAACTCAATGAAGAAAAACTACATTGGTATAACGTAACCAATTATTTAAACTCGTATTCTGCAGGTCGCCTTGACAATCTGGCCTAAATTGGCTAAGTTATCAATCTAAACAAATTAAGTTAGGCCAAATGATTTATTGACGCGCTAGGGCACAACACATATAAAAGACTCACGTAATAAATTTGTTAATGATCATCTTTGTTTTTTATCTTACTTTTCTTGCTTTTTTCGAAAATGATACCACTTTCAAACGAATGTTTTCTTGAAATACTTAAATATCTTCAAAATAATTATAAAAGTTTATTTTCATGCCTTCTTGTAAACCGTCAATGGTTTAGACTTGTTGTACCAATTTTATGGAGTAGACCTTTAGATCATTTCTTTGATTCAAGAATTATAAAAATATACCTTTCGTTTTTAAATTCTGATGAACAAGCTCCATTAATTCCATTTGAATTAATACTTCCAACTTATCAAAAACCGTTAGTTAATTACGCGATTTTTATCGTTTCTTTTCAAGATGATCTACTTAGCGAATCAATTTTAGAATGGGTTATCAAAGATAGTCATGGTCCTTGTGATTACCATCATATTACCCCGAATATGGTTCAAGTTATTAAATGTTCTTTAATTGCAATGCTTTTACGAACAAGTGAAAGACTCAAATTTATAGATATTCACGGTTTTAATCATGGCATATTCGTAAAGACATTAGTAGAAACTCTTTATAGAAACACCATCATTAAAGACATCAATATTCATTCGGCAGATCTTGATTTTGATGATGTAAAAACATTAGCTGGTGCTCTTTTTAAAAACAATACTCTAAATTCTTTGAAAATTGGCTATGATCTAATTGGTGATAATGGTAAAATGTTAATTGAAGCTCTTCACGAAAATACTACTCTTTCATCTTTGAGTCTTCATTATGTTCGCCTTGGTAATGAAAGTATTAAAGCGATAGCAAATGTTCTTTCTAAAAATTCAACTCTGATTTCTTTAGACCTTCATGGTAATTACTTTGGTGCTGAAAGTGGAAAAATTCTGGCGAAAGCTCTTTACGAAAATACCTCCCTGACTTCATTAAATCTTAGCTATAATCAACTTTGCATTGAAGGTGGAAAAGCTATTTCTAGTGCTCTTTACAAAAAAAATTCCACACTTACCTCTTTGAATCTCGGTAGTAATTTCATTCGTGCTGAAGGTGGAAGAGCATTGGCTCTCGCACTTTGTAAAAATACTTCTTTGACTTCTTTGAGTCTTCATTGTAATCAACTTGACATTGGGGGAAAAGCATTTGCTGAAGTTTTTCGTTTAAATTCTACTCTTTCCTATTTGGACCTTCATAATAATCAACTTGACAGTGGAGTAATAAAAGAATTGGCAGAAGCTCTTCATAAGAACACATCACTCATTTTTTTAGATCTTTCTCATAACGATATTGGTCCTACGGGTGGAAAAGCGTTAGCGGAAGCCCTTTCAAAAAATACATCTCTCACTTATTTGGACCTTCGTAGAAATCGTCTCGGTACAGAAGGAGGGAAAGCACTAGCAGAGGCTCTTAACAAAAACACAATGCTTAATATTTTGAATCTTGAGTGTAATAGACTTGCTGAAAGTGGAAAAGCGTTGGCAAGAGCTCTTTGTAATAACACCGGCCTCAAGTCTTTGGTTCTTTCCGATAATGGGCTTCTTGGTGAAGATATAGAAGCTTTTGCAGAGTCACTTTGTGAAAATTCAACTCTCACTTCTCTAGATATTTCACGTAACGAAATTGGTTCTATAGAAGGTGTTGCTTTGGCGTGGGCACTTCGAACAAACTCATCCTTAACATCCTTAGACATTTCCATTAATGAACTTAGTTCTGAAACAGTAGTAAGAGCGATCATGAAAGCTTTACGCAAGAATGTAACTTTAACTTCTTTGAACTTTCATTATAATGATTTTTTTACTTTTAATGATTTTGATGATGATTCTGATGAATTAGATTTAAGTTTATTTAGAAATATTAACGTTTTATTGGAAAATCTTAGAAAAGATATTAGAAAAGACATTGAAATTTCTTTTGGACTTTAAAATAATTTTAATAAAGTTCAAACACAATCATTAATATTTCGTAAATTTTAAATCTATTTTTTCATATTTAATACTATCAAGATTTCCATAATACTAGTTTATTGAAGTAATGGAAATGCGAAATGAAATTTAAATATATTAAAAAATATGGTGCATCACCGATGTCAAGAGTAAATTACTGAAGGGTACAAAAACTATAATAAAAAACGGCTTATTGTTTTACGGGTCTCGTTGAAGATTTCCAACGATAAATCAAATGCTCGAATTTTGACTCGATCTTATTAAAATTCAGCCAACTCAATTCGAGTTGCAATATAACCCACCTAAATAATAGCAGTTTGAAATTAAATCTTATTATTTTATTCGAACCATTACATAATAAAATTCAAAATTAAAGTGATTTATATAAATATAAGTTCGTGATTAAAAAAATAAATTCATAAATTTACTGTTCGAATTTAATTTAAACTATGGCTTATATTTCACAATTATTTAATTTATTGTCAGCAAAAGACGTTTTTACTGTACTACGTTCACTCCACTCCAATTTTCTTGGAATATATTTTGCTTTTTCCAAATTTTTTATATCTTCTGTCATTTTTGAAGCAGTACAATGTTTGATTCAACATTCTGAAGCCTTTTTTTTTTTTTATTCAGATGTTTTGCTAGACTTATCAAGCAAATAAAAAAAAGCTAAGTATTAAAATAATAATTGTCATGGCTGAAGTTGAAAATTTCAATTATTTTAATATGAAAACTTTTTGGGTGTATTTTTTTTTTTTTTGTGATAGTTAGGTTAGGGTTAGTTTTTATAATAAAAATATAAATAGATTTTGATATGGTTTATATTTTTAAATCGAGGTCTCTAATTCCAGCTTCAGCCGTTACAATAAATATTTTATTTATGTAAAATAAGCTAGCGGATAATCTATAATATATACAGTAACAGGCATAAAACATGTTCTCTTGGTTGATGTTAAATATAAATCAAATGACAAATTTATATATAATATCTATAAAAAGAAACTTTCTTTAAACGCTAAAAAAATTTTTTTTTTTAATATTTTATAATTCTATAATATAAATTGCAAAACAAAATATTAAGTAGTTTTAAAAAATCTTGAGCTAAAATTATTTAATTTTTTTTATATTTATTATTGAGAAAAGAATACATATTGTAGTTATTGTATACGAAGTATGCAATAACGGTTTTATTTTATGATTTACTATCTCAGATTTATGAAATTGTTCAATCATTTTATCATTTAAAAGTACCATAAAATAATTGATTATTTTATAAACTGATCATAGTAAAGCATTAAATAATTTTATATATTTTATAGCAAAAAAAAATAGCAT